GAAAATTATGCGTCAACGAAAATGTTAAAAATATTGGTCGGCAAACATCAAAACTGAAGTGGATTCGTGATTTTTCCTTTTTAAATAGCTGGTAAACATGGTGTTATATTTTATGCTGACAGTAAAAATATTTTACATAAATTTAACTTGCTAATGCGAAAATGATGAAAAGTTATTTCTAAATCCTTTTTTCTCAAAAACATTCTTAGTATAAATATTTATCCCTTCGGTAGCTGTATTTTAACATTTTAGTTCATCGGCTTTTCAGATGTTGAGCCATAAAAAGTAAGAATTTTGTTTTTAAACTTTATGTTTGTAAACACATTGCACCACCACATGCAAATTTAGTTGCTCTACTTTTTACGTTTTTGAGAATTTTTTTTAACATTAAAGCATTTTTGTTAATTATTAAAAAAATAAATCACGGAATATCTTTTCTTTTCTAAATTAAATATATATTTTTCATTTTTAGATCATGACAATTCGAAAGATATAGTGACTATGGGATACAAAAAAAATGGTCATTTGGTACTAATTACTTTGCTACATTAGTTGTATGTTTGACCATTTTACTAAACTTTATAATTATAGTTAGCTTACTTAGGTATTTAGTTTGGAGAAATATCTTCTGTCATTTTAATTATGCCCGTGTTCTGTTTTGAATTATGCATAATATATACGAAATGCGCAAAAGCCGTTAGCGGAAAATTTATCACCATAGCAGCAGCTTCTTTAATATTCCTCATTATTACACAATGTAAATTCTGATCATTACCAAATACTAAAATGTAGAGTAGGCTCGAAAAATATACAATTTACAATAGTACTTTGATTATACGTTATAATATACGTATATATGATTTGTTATACGTATATTATACGTATATACCTTTGATTATACGTATATAATGTATAATAAAAAATATATAATGTATAATGAAAAAAAACAAAATATAATATAAACAAATGCTTGATCTTTCTATATTTATCATATTTATCTCGCAGTCAATTTTAAAAAATTCAGATACAGTGAAAGAAAATTTGATAATTCAATAACTAATTTTATATCTTTAAAAAACTGCTAAATTTAAAGAAAAATAAGCTATATAACAATCAATATAGAGTTTTATAAAAAAAATTTAAACACTTTTACAAAATCGTCGATTTTTCAAACAAATTTCGTAAAAATTAGGTAGCGGAAAAAGGATTAAAACTAGTTACAAAAGTCAATGAATCGCTTGCAGAAAGTTTTTTAATTGATATTTTGTGTTCGAAGAAAGTTTTACCAGAGTCTGCCCATGAATCCCTATTAAGTTTTGTCAAATTTAACCAAAGAAATAAAATAACAATTCATAGTTTAAAATTTTCTCATAATACTTCCCTATGTACGGTTCTTAAAGGATGAAAGTTATTAAAAATAGCTTTCATTGAAAATAGCAATTTGAGTAGAAACGATCTTAAATATTATTGTTATCAACAATCATAAAATCTTACACGAGGGTTAAATTATAAAACTAGGATGTAACATTAAATCTTTTGCGATATGCAGCTGATTAAAAACTTAAACTCTTATAAGGGCATATCCATATTAAATTTATATGCTTTATGTTTATAGTTGTAAAATTTTTAAGTGACGTAATAGAAACCGAGTTGTCAAAACTATTATAATTCTAGAAGATTATATTATTGTTAAAAATAAAATGGATCGTTTTAAGGACATTCTTTTTTTAATCTTTACATCAAAAAATAATTTTTCAATGATATATTATTTACAATGATAGTTATTTTTCAATGACTTAACACCCCCATTGAAATTTTAAAATTGAAGAAGGGTCAGAGACAATTTTCCCCAAGTCATGCGATGGATTTTTCTTTTTTTTTTCGATCCTAAATTAATTTTTCCGTGCACAAATGCTTAAGCATTTCAATACTTTTTTTTCAACCCTGTACAAGGGTGGAACCAGGGAAGGGCAAGGGCCTCCCATCTGGGAAAAGCATAAGATTTTTCCGTAGAATAAATTTGTGTTTTCCTTAGAAACAATACAAATAAACAAAATCTATGAATGAAATTCATATACGGCCGCATTGTCGAGACGACATTGACTTCCACGTAAGGAACAGTCTCTCTGAATCTGCGTAATTGGTTATAATCCAATATAATAAACAAATCCAAGAGCATCAACTGAAAACACCAGTCATATTTTTTAAACAAATAAATCTCACCAACATAAATACTGATTTATTTCTATTTTAGAGCGTAAAAAAATACATTAAAAGAAGCTAATTTTAGATTCAAAATCCATTTGTTCTTTCCGCCTAACATAATCTTTTTAATTTAAGAAATTATAACTCCCTTTTTGATACTTGATCAATGTTTCTAAACAAATAAAATTTTCCATAAATCATCAAAACTTAATTTCCATGTAGGCTAATTTTACTTGCAATACGATTCTTACCTATTACTTTACCCTACGTTTTCGACTTTCCGTTGGCTAAAGAAGTTGAATTCACATGAATAGAACTGATTTGTTCTCTTGATCTACTTAATATACAATAAATATTAGGTATAAAAAATAAAATCTCCAATTTTTATAAAAAATTAATTTTACTAAAAATTTATTTTCAACAAATCATAATACTTAATTTCTCACGTAATANTGGCAGCAGCTTCTTTAATATTCCTCATTATTACACAATGTAAATTCTGATCATTACCAAATACTAAAATGTAGAGTAGGCTCGAAAAATATACAATTTACAATAGTACTTTGATTATACGTTATATATGTATATAATGTATAATAAAAAAATATATAATGTATTATGAAAAAGAAACAATATAATATAAACAAATGCTTGATCTTTCTATATTTATCATATTTATCTCGCAGTCAATTTTAAAAAATTCGGATACAATGAAAGAAAATTTGATAATTCAATAACTAGTTTTATATCTTCAAAAAACTGTTAAATTTAAAGAAAAATAAGCTAAATAACAATCTATATAGAGTTTTATAAAAAATTTAAACACTTTCACAAAATCGTCGATTTTTCAAACAAATTTCGCAAAAATTAGCAAATTCGCAAAAAGGGCTAAAACTAATTACAAAAGTCAATAAATCGCTTGCAGAAAGTTTTTTAATTGAGATTTTGTGATCGCAGAAAGTTTTACCCGAGTCTGCCCATGAATCCCTGTCAAGTTTTGTCAAATTTAACCAAAGAAATAAAAAGAACAATTCATAGTTTTAGATTTCTCATAATATTTTCTTTTGCATGGTTCTTAAAGGATAAAAGTTAAGAAAAATAGCTTTCATTGAAAATAGCAATCGATTTAGAAACGATCTTCTTATTGTTATCAACAGTCATAAAATTTAACACGATGGTTTAATTATAAAACTAGGATTGATTCAAACAATTTATATCACATTTAATTTTTAAATGCTATAACTTAGTTTTGAACGTATATAAATGAAGAATACATGGATCATTTCGGGATATTTTAGCCAATAAGATCTTTGACCTACAGGACTTCACATGAAGTATTCTGCATAAGATATATCTGTTATGATGCAACATTGCGATATGCAACATACATTATAACTCGAATAAGAGCACATCTATATTAAATTAATTTGCTTCATGTTTATAGTTATAAAAATTTTAAGTGACGTAATAAGAACAGTGTTGCCAAAACTATTATAATTCTAGGAGATTATACGTATTATTGGTAAAAATAAAATGGATTGTTTTCTTCACACCAAGGAATTATTAATCATAACGTTTTAAAGCGCATTTTAAGACATTCCTCTTTTAATTTTTATACTAAAAAGTTATTTTTCAATGATATATCCAAGACTTAATAACACCCCCATTTGAAATTTTAAGCTTGAAGAAGGGCCAGGGACAATTTTTCCTAAGTCATTAGATGAACACACTTTGATGGTTTTTTCTTTCTTTTTTTCGATCCTAAATTGATTTTTCCATGCACAAATGCTTAAGCATTTCAATACTTTTTTTTCAACCCTGTACGAGGGTGGAACAAGGGAAGGGCACGCGCCCTCCCATTGGGGAAAAGCATAAGATTTTTCCGTAGAATAAATTTGCGTTTTCCTTAGAAACAATACAAATTAACAAAATCTATGAATGAAATTCATATACGGCTGCATTGTCGAGACGACATTGACTTCCACGTAAGGAACAGCCTCTCTGAATCTGCCTAATTGGTTATAATCCAATATAATAAACAAATCCAAGAGCATCAACTGAAAATACCAGTCATATTTTTTTAACAAATAAATCTCTCTAACATAAATACTGATTTACTTCTATTTTAGAGCGTAAAAAAACACATTTAAAGAAGCCAATTTTGGATTCAAAATCCATTTGTTCCTTCCGCCTAACATTATCTTTTTAATTTAAGAAATTATAACTCCCTTTTTGATACTTGATCAATGTTTCTAAACAAATAAAATTTTCCATAAATCATCAAAACTTAATTTCCATGTAGGCTAATTTTACTTGCAATACGATTCTTACCTATTACTTTACCCTACGTTTTCGACTTTCCGTTGGCTAAAGAAGTTGAATTCACATGAATAGAACTGATTTGTTCTCTTGATCTACTTAATATACAATAAATATTAGGTATAAAAAATAAAATCTCCAATTTTTATAAAAAATTAATTTTACTAAAAATTTATTTTCAACAAATCATAATACTTAATTTCTCACGTAATAAATTGTCTTCCGATAATGACATTTTCTTATTTTACTTTTTTCTTTCTTTTTTCCTTTCCATATGATACTAGGAGAGAATAGAAGTAGAAAAATGTTCTCCCTTTAATATTTTTATAAAAAAAAAATAATAAAATTAGCAAACCCCTTAAATTAGGTAAAAAAAAAAAATAAGAATAACAAATATAGTTTACTTTATTTTTCTCAAAAAAAATTTTTTTTTCTTGAATTTATCGGTTTTTATAAAGTATGATTAAAGTATTTACCTGTAAAAGGGATTCCCCATGCAAAAATGACGATCACAATTCCTTTCACCCAGTTCAGATGATTCTTAAATTGAAGTACATAAGTCATGGTTAAAAAGTCACTGGCCTCCGATCCTCGGCAATCCTCACCCACAACATCATCAAGAGCAAAAATCTAATGCTGGGCAGACGATAATCCAAACGACGATCTTACCACTCAACTTTTCTGACATAACAGTCTCACCAACGCACACACACTCACTTTTTCCCGTTGTTCCGCTCTTGCGCGTGAACCGTTAACCCCAGTTCAAAGCCGCCAAAGCGTCTGGTGCCGTTCTTCATTCTCCCAGCATCATGGGTTGCCCCTTTGGAAGATCGCCAAGAGGAGTCCCTTTTGCGCCACGAAGATGATGCCAAACAACTCCGAAGTAAAAATCTACGAAATTCAACGAAAGGCATAAACAACGATTTTAAATAATTAGTAAATTCACGATCAGTTAAAAAAAACAAATCAATTTACACAATTTTGATGATAATAGTTTTTTAAATACTTTGTGTTGCCTTAAATCTTAAATATTTTGGATCTTTGGATTAATTCCTACAAATGCTTTACATTTTATGTGTTAAAAAAATTTTAACTTAATAATTTTTCAGAGTAATTACTTTAAAAAAACAAGATTCAAGTTAGAAGTTGCTGGTTGTTTTTACTTATTATTTTTTTTTCCACTATTTTTTGACCGCTAAGGAAAAACTACTATATTTTGCAGAAAAAATTAAGTACCCAAAAGTTGAAAGGTTGCACATTTTTACTCCGCATCCGGCTTGCACCGACCACATTGCTGACGTAAAATACGACCACAGTGGTAGACAGAGCATGGGTTAGAGTCCCCTTGCCTAAAGGCTAACCGTGGGAGGTTTTCGTGATTTTCCTTTCCATATAATGCAAATGTGGGTTAGTTCTATCNGGAGGTATATATTAAGGTATATTTGAGGTTGGTTTTGAGGTATTCATTTGCACCCTTTTCAACCTCAACGACGTCTTTAAATAACAACCTCCTTTATACCTTTAAAATATACCTTGTTTATACCTCATTTATACCTCGATTTTTTCATAAGGGGTTGCACATTTTTACCCAATACTATAGTACAGAGTCGTGATGGCTCAGGAGATAGAGCGTTCACCTTCTAATGAGATGAGCGGGTTCGAATCTCAGCAATGGCTGGTAGATACGAATTCCGCATCCGGCTTGCACCGACCACATTGCTGACGCAAAATATCCTCGGTGGTTGACGGAGCATGGGTTAGAGTCCTCTTGTCTTTAGGCTAACCATGAGAGGTTTTAGGGGTTTTCCTTTCCATGTAGCGCAACTGCGGGTTAGTTCCATATCAAAAAGTCCTCCATGAAGGCAAATTTCTCGCAATACTTGATACAGGAGTTCCCTTGTCTTCTGGATTGGGATCAAAATCACAAGGCTACGGAATTGAACATTAGTAGTCGTGAACCCAAATAATTGAGTCGGCTGTTCAACGACGATTATAAAATAAAATACTATGGTACAATATAAACTAGAATTTTTTTACAGGACTTGGCAATTTCTCTGTTCGTCCACCAAACCACGTGATTGCTTTTCATTCGTAAATATTTTTTTTTATCTTCTGGATCGCTATTTTTCGCAAAAGAAAGAACATTTTATAAATACAATTTATCACTATTATAATTTTGTAAAAACACTTTGTTAATATTAATAATAACGAACTGAATGATTACCTGAATTTGAAAAAAAATTCAACTGCAATTGAATAGAAATTTTTATCTTTTGGAATAAAGATTATGTGACTCATAATAAATTTAGAATAAAACTGAGAAATAATTACTCTGAATATAAATGAGAAATGTTATACCTTTGTTATAAATTTTTAACGAGACTTACATTACTATATAACAATTCAAAGGAAGCAGTTTTTCTCTTTCTTCAATTAAGTTTTTTAAGTTTTTACAAATTACTACATAAATGTTAAGATTTACATCTGGCAATATCTAATCTTTCTTATTTCTCTCTTTCGCTACTCTCAACACTCACTCCAACGCTAACTTATTAAATTAAAAATTCCAGAGAAATAAATAAATGTTCCTACAACAATGAATGAATAGTTATAATTTAAAGTTTAGCATTTATTAATTCTCAAATTTTAAACATTTAATAATTCGATCGATATTTAATACATTTTTGATATAATCGAATATTAATTATTCGATCGTACTTTAAGTACACTACCCTACAACAATTTAAAAATACTTCCAAATTTTGTGATTTTTTTTCCTTCAATTTTCTCTAGAAATAGTGAAGAGTTATTTTATAGCTTTGGAGATGTTTAGGTCTAGCAATTTCTTATACTTTTCAAAAAACTTTAAAGCTTTTTGTAGTTAACGACAATAAATTGCGGATGGTTGTTGTTGTTTTTGTAGTTCATTTGCGTCGCACTAGAGCTGCGCAATGGGCTATTGGCCACTGTCTGGGAAACATCCCTGAGGATGATCCGAAGACAATTTTGACATCGCAATTTTGATCCTTTGCAGAGGGGATGGCACCCCCGCTTCGGTAAACAGTAAACTGCTCGACTTCGCGTGCAGGTCATTGGGCTACCGAAGCAGGGGTGCCACCCCCTCTGCAGAGGATCAAAATTCCTCAGGGATGTTTCCCAGACAGTCGCCAATAGCCTATTGTGCAGCTCTAGTGCGACGTAAATGAACAACAACAACAAATCACGGTAGAACAGTTTAACGAGGATCAACACCGCACACCCTCGGTCCCTGCGCAGACTAATCCAAGTGATCACCCACCAGCACACTGACCGCAGCCAGTGACGCGTGACTTCGGTGATCTGATGAGAATCGTGTCTTAATGATCAGTCCACTGCGGGACCAATTGCGGATGGAAAATAGTGTTTTTGAACACCCTATACCGGAAAATGTAGCAATGCTCTTGTAATTTATATAGATTATTTTGGCTATTATAGGGAGTAACTGCATAATATTTCGTAAATCTAACTTAACTGTTTTTGGAAACATGGATATTTTAAGAAAAATTGCCTTACTTTTGCTTATTGTAACTGTAACTATCTCTAAATAACATTAAAATAGAATTAAAATTGTCTAACACGATTTTCTATGATTGTAGATGCATTTTTACTACCCAGAAAATCATATGGTAGGATCCAGTTTTTCAGAATTAGTTTCCATATATTTTTGATTGTCATCAAGAAAAAATTAAAAAAAAGTCATAAATGTTTCATTTTCCTATAAAATATTTTTGTATATCTAAGTTAAAGGTTAATTAATATTTATTTTTCTTATTCTACTCTGCTATTAGTGCGTTTTTGATTTTGATTGTTTCTTAAATTACGAGTTCAAAACTAAAAGAGTTGCTTCTTTATTATAATGTACTTCTGCGACATACCTTAATACGCAATTATTCTAAGATAAATTTATTTAAATCGGAGTCTAAATTTTTTAACAGTTTTACAACTATTAATTTTTTGGTGCAAATTGCATTAATATCGTATTAAATATTACAGTTGACGAGATTCGTTATAAAATTAGGAGATTTGGTCCGTTCTTAGTCGATGTGATGCAGCCACAAATTGTATTTAGTCTATCTACCTGTTTGGCAGACGAAAATATTTAATAACTCACCAAATTTGTAATAACAATATACTTTTAGTTTTAAATGTAATTTTAAAAGGTGATAGCTAAGCAAAATTATTTATATTCATAAACAGATCTAAATAGAACGTGAAGCCGACCGGTCTGTGTAGGGGGCAGGGAACTGTCCTTTCATCAGAAAGGTCCTGGGTTCGAATCCCGGGCAAGGCATGGATGTTTCTTTCTCTCTCTGTGCGTTCTATGTCCTTTCTCCTTTGTGTGTGAATGTGATCCACTCTATAAACGGGTTGTGGTTGTGTGAATGGCGTGGCAGAAGTCGAATTCCTGGCCATAGATGGCGCCACTGAAAAACAGAAACAATCGCACCCCCACTGCCTAAAAAACAGGCATACGACAATAAAAAATTAAAAAAAGAACGTGAAACGTGAGAAACGTGGAAGGTGAGGGGAATAAACGAAGGTAAATAGAATTCTTTTTAGTAAGTAAATATATAAGAAATAAAAGTTTCTGTAAGTAAATAAATTCAACTTTCATAGAAAAAATTGTTTAAGCCAAGAAATAGCTATTACTGGAAAGCAATCATCATGGTTGGTTAATGGCAACTAACAGGTGGCTTGACCCCTTAGTATCCAATAAAATTGAACTAAGTTTTTGGAGCACTTTATTTATTGACGACAAAAATATTAGTTTACAATAATAATTATTATCAAGCAAAAGGACAATTACTATTAGGCATTATAATTTATAATTAAGTTTTGCATTTAAGATACAGAATAAAATTTGTGAAAAACCCCTTATCATTCAGAGCTTTACTTACAAAAATAAAAAAACTACTTAGAAAATTGCCAGAAACGTTTTAAATTTTCCAGATTGAAATTGGACATTTTACATAAGTTACCAAAAATGATTCGAAAAAAATTATTCCGATTGATAATAAGAGAAACGCAGCTAAATTTATAAGCAATCATTTGCTAAATAAAATCTTATTTTAGGCAACGACATACATTTAAATTAATTAAAAAGTAGTAAATAATTCCAAAATAGTAAATAAAAATAGTAATAATAAATTATCATTCTGAGCTTTCATTAGAAAAATACAAAAACTACTTAGAAAATTGCCAGAAACATTTTAAATTTTCCAGATTGAAATCGGACCTTACCATAAATTACCAAAAATGATTCGAAAAAAATTATTCCGAAAATGTTTTAATAAGAGAAACGTAGCTACATTTATAAACAATCATTTGCTAAATAAAATCTTATTTTAAGCAACTACAAACATGTAAATTAATTAAGAAATAGTAAATAATTAAGAAATAGCAAATAGTAAAAATATTCAATTTAAAGAAAGTTTAACCCAAGAAATTGCATTTTTTTTTCCATTTACATTCTAAAAAATCCGATTAACGTACTAGTGAAAAAATACTATTTTTCAGCAATTACTCTTAATTTAAAGTCCTATAAAGTATCATACTTAATAATACTAAGTTTTCAATCCTTTAGGCTAGAAAAATATGACCATAAAGGTTGTCTTGTTTTTAAGACGCTCATTAGTAACAACAATAAATAAACGAGCGTTTAACAACCTAGCATTGAGAGCTGGTATACATGTTAACAACAGTAACCATTTCAGAATAAATATACTTAAATTACAGAACATAAAAAGTCTTGCTCAAACAGCTTTCATCAAAACCGCATGCTACATCACTTCCCTCAATACTTTACTTTAAAAGATAATTATT